ACAGGTATGTTGCTTGTGCCTTGTACAGGGGGAAATAGAGGCACTGCAAGAGGCACCTGGGCTCACTCCAGAAATCTTGGCGATACCAAGAATCAAACCTGGTCCCAAAGCCGTCTTTCCTGTCTGCCGAACAACTGAGCAGTGAGGCACACCTGAATCTTTTCATTCTCTCGTTCATGTTGAATCTGTGCTTTCAGTGCCTGTCTAGATGAAGTGCTTTTGCAGAAGGTAACAACAGATGGTAGTAATGTAGGTCCCTTCCTTGTCTTTGTGCCCAAGACATGGATGTTGGGCAGGGTAGCTCTGTGCTCTCTCACCACCGCTTTCCAGGGAGTGGGTCTGTCTGGGGCCCTGCTTGGTGAGTTTAGTGAGGGTGTATCCTCTGTGCTTAAATGCAATCTGGCTTTTGAGAGCTGGGTGATGTTTCCAGCCCTCGGGTTCATCTCAGGTCAAAGCAATCTAACATGTGCTAAAAGTACTGCTGGACAGCCCTTAATCACTTTATATTGTCTGGGCAGGGGTGGGTAAATTCATTATTTACAGGGGAAGAAAGTGTGTGTCACTGGAGCCAGCGCCAAATGTTTTACCATACATGTTCAGGCAACTCAGATTAGGTGTCTTTTTTAATGGTGAGAAGCTGGATTTCAAGGTGGAGGGATATGCACTTACCTTTGACTGGCCGTCCTCTTTTCAGGACCAGGGTTTCTCCTCTCATGTGTACCTCCCACTATTGGAAGAGAGAGCAGGATCATTAAGCTGCTCAGAAGATCATCACCACCAGGCAGTGATGAAACTCCTGTTAAAACAGCCCCTGCTTTTTGCCCTCTCATTTGGATTATAAGGCAGACTTTCATGTTCTGCCATGTTCCTTTAATCTTCATCAAAGCAGCAAATGCTACATATACTGTTGCCACATTGTTGTTGTGGTTGTTTTTAATTTTTTTTTTAATTAAAAAAAATACAAAACAAAAAAAAAACCAAAACCCCTCTCACCAACTCGCAGTATGACCCCAGAGACTGTGGAAAGGTAGGGAATGGGCTCTGGTAAAATGTGTGGCTATCTTGAAGAGTTTAAATGCCTGTCCTAAATGTCTTTTCACAGCATCAACTTGGCAGTCTGTCAATTCCATGTATTGGCTTGGAGACTCTTGATCTAACTACAGCATGGCCCTTGAGGCTAGAGACGGTCTGGTTGTTTGCAAGGCTTGTTAGCATCCCCAGATTGCAGAGACTATGCCATCTAACGGTCTGAGTTCAAATCCAGCAAAGCTCAGAGTGGTTTATGAAACCCTTGGAGATGAACAGATTTTACATGTGATTGACGACTCCTTTCCAGTGGGAAAGGGCCTACATGTGAACAAGAAGCAGGCCTACTATTGATAGCTCCTTTCTGGTGGGAAATAAGGCAGGAGCCAGTGCAAATATTTCCATGTAATAGGAGGGGAAGCTAAAGCAATTTGTTTCCAGAATCTGCATCTTAGTCTGGAGCAGAGCTGGGGTCAGTGCCAGGAGACCTGACCGCCAGGCCAGTCTCTCCCAGGAGTAAAGATACCACTGCACCATAGAATGATTCAGGTTTGAAGGGACTGATCCAACTCAAAGCCAACTTCCAAATTAGATGAAGTTGCTTGGAGCTGTGCCCATTGCAAAGACAACTTATGTCTTGGGTGATATCTCCTCTTCATGCCAAGACAAAGCCCCTTGATGGCGAAGCCATGGGTGGTAGCAGATTCTCTGTTCCTGAGACAGATCTGCAATCCTAAAGCCAGCCAAGGATCCTCATGTTATGCCCAGTTCAGCTGTAGACTCTCCAGCTGCTCTGATGCCACAGAGGGCTGTTTGCCACGGGGGAGAGGAGCAGCTGGCTGCACTCTGTGAAATGTCTGTGTTTTCCCAAGATACCCATTGTCTGCCTGCAGCACCAGCCTCCACCCTACTTGCTCACTCAGCCGTGGCTGATGTGTCTTTAATTAAAGAGGACGAGCAATTTGAGATTTCATTTTCTTTTCTCAACCATATTTCCTATTTCCATCAGAGTTTGCATGGGGCCTCCTCCCCTTATTTTTGCCTTGTAGTTTTGCTGTGGGACCGTCAGTTTATGGACTATCTGCTCTAAAATAAGGAAGAAACAGGAAAAAATAGCTTGTGTTGGGCCAGGGAATTAAGATCCTGTGTCAGATGGCTGCTACCGTCATTAACATATTTACATTTTTGCCTAAGAGCCTCATCGAGGATCAAGGGAGTTAAGGGTGATTGTCATTGAAATGCGGAGGAAACCTTGCATGAAATTGCCGTTAGTGTCCTATTGTTTGGGGGGCGGTGAGGGTGGGCAAATGGCCTTCCTCATCCCCACACCAGTTGTGTTGCTCTTGTCTGCCCAAGTAGATGGGCAGAGGCAGAAGTAACTACTCTGAAGGAAGCCACTGTGCTGCCTTAGTTGCTGGGAGGCTTTGCCTGGGGAGCACTCCCTGTGGGGCTGGACCTGGGGCTCAGCGCAGCCATGCTGCTGGCTGCCAGTCGTCGTCTGTCCTCTCTGTGAGACAAAGGTGCTTGGCTGGGCTTGTGGGACAACTGGCCCTTAACGAGATCATCATGGATAATTACATGAAGCGGCTAGCAAAGGTCAGTTGCATCTTTTATAATTGATGACCCAAGAGTTTTGAGTGTGCCGTCACATGTTGTTTTTGCCACGTGTGTGGACACATGTTCTGCAGGAACAGCTCAACCCCTTGATTTTTGTGGCTAGCTGTGATACCAGAAACAGAGTTTGAGGCAGTTTGAAGTGTTGGGGTGGATTTTGAGTGTTGTGGTGATAGATCGGTGTTTTATATGCTGAAAAATTTGTTTACAGTAAAACGTTCTGCTCTAGGCTGTGGAAGCAGTGGTCTAGTCCTGCTCTGAGGCAGGCCTTTTTGATTTAGATGCCAGTTGTTCATTGTTCACCTCTTACTCTTTCATGCTGTTCAGATCCACTGTTTTAATTCAAACCTACTTCTAATTAGTATCATTAACTTGGTGCCAAAAAGAAAATCATACATAGCAACATTAAAGAGGAGAACAGGCTCCCTAGCATGTTTACAGTACTGAAAATACTAGCTACCTTCTGCCACTGCTTTGATTTTGGTGGGACAAGCAGCAAGACGGTGAGCTGAAGGGGGAATGCTGGTGCCTACTGGTGTGAGAAAGAAGCATCCTTAGAGCAGAGGCTCATTCCAAGCCAGCAGACAGGCTTCAGCTGCCTGTCCATTTGGAAAGCCAACAGCCAGTAACAGGTATGGACAGTACCGTCTTGAGTGACAGAATTGTATCTGCTATAGTGATAGTGAGTCTGGAGTCATTAGCGTGTCCTGGGCTGGGTTGAAGCTTTGAAGCGGTTGTGTAATTTCTGTTCTTTGTTACAAAATGTTTCTTTTTGGAATGCTTTAAAGGAGAACAAAGTCTGGGAAAAGTGATTTGTGATCTGAGCCACTCTTTTGTGTTTCAGGAGCCTCTGTGCTTCAGCTCTATATCCCTTCTGCCCTCTGAAGGAATAGCTATGTTCCCTGTGGCTGTGGCCATTGGTCTTTCCTACAAAGTCAAAGAGTGAGCACACAGCATGGGGGGAGTGTCCCATGTTTCAGTCACTGACCCTGGCCCAAAAAGCAGGGAGGCATTTAAGCCTTCAGGGAACAAATGGGTTTGTCCTGGGCAAGATAAGTTTTGATATGTTAAATGTCAAGATATAAAGTGGTGCAGTTAAGTAAGATGTTGGTTAGGTCAAATGTTTTCAGGAAACAAGGATGGACACAGCAGTATCTGTGGGATTGCTGGTGTTATATCCATTCACTGAATGACTCATCTCCCAGCTTCTGCAAATTCCCTTGAGAAAGGTCATCTCAGGCATTATGCTGACGGTGCTTAATTTCCTGGGTATCTGTGCCTCTGGGACTGGGCACTGCAAACTTAGGCTGGCTTGGGAGTCCCAGCAAGAACTAAAAAGCATCAGAGCTGAGTCTGAGTGGAGAAGCCCTGATTTTTGGGGTTGGTTTTAGAATTTGATCTGTTAACTCAAAGCATCAGAGTGGGTTGGAGTAGGGGAGCTAAGCGCCTCCAGGGATTAATATTAAGCCCTTGTTTAACAGTAAACAGTTGATGAAATCCACCTTTGGCTCTGGGTGCCAGCTGTCAGGAAGGTACATCCAGGCCACCTCACAAGGACAGAACAACCCTTGGCAGAGGGCAGGGGAGAGTGCCCAGCTCTGGCTGTCCACAGGTCACTTGTTTTGTCTTGTTTTGTGTAACCCACTTGCCCCAGCACCTTCCTCACAGAGGGGCTGCTGCTTTGACAAAATAGCAGACCAGCCCTGCTCCAGCAAGGAGCTGTGATCTCCCCTCCTCAGGTTAGACAGCTCCTCAACAAAGCAGCTAGTGTGCAGAGTGCCCAGGACAGCGGGAGCAGCCAGACAAAGGCGCTCAGGCCAGAAGGGGATGGAGCCAGATCCTCGCACGTGGGAACTGCGTCCCCTAAACAAGCCGCCTGAGGCCAGTCTGTTTTATAGCTGCTGTCCTTGCTGCAGACCGGTGACAGCCCTGGCAGGCTGCATGCTCTGCCACATCCCCTTCTCACCTCCTCCCTTGCCAAGGCAGCCTTTACTCTGCTGCGTCTGATCGAAGGCCCGGCGCCTGTTCAGCTTTTGTCCTCTGTTAGGAAAGAGCGAGGATTGTCAGGACCTTTTTGGCTCTGCCAAGGCCTTTTATGTCCCAAATGTTTCCATGAAAAGCCTCCATCCTGACCACCCTGCCCCCTGACAGCTATTCAAACCAGCCAACAAGCTTGATATCATTATCTACAAAAGGAGGCCAGTGAGCACCAGAGTCCTCACAGCCAAGTCTGGGAAATCAAAGGCAAATCTCCCAGCAACAGAGCTGGCGGAGATCAAGCCGCACCACAGCTAGTGCGGGCTGGTCTGGCAGCTTGCGTCCACTGGTTTTAAAAGCACAAAAGAAATGGGCTCGGCGTGATGCCAGTGCTGGCTTTGTCGGGGCCGGGAGTGTGCCCGTCTGTGAGGTGGCAGCCCCTGGCAGAGTGCTCTGGGGAATTCGGCGTGGGTTAGCGGCTGCTGGAAGCAGTCATACATTTGAACAGCCTTCCAAAGCTGTCTCTTTTTGGTCAATGGTGGTTTTAGGAGATTAACCACTTAATCTGAGGGAAAACAGTGATGTTTTTGGTCAGAGTGAGATTCACTCCAAATATCACCTGGGACTTTCCTTCTAATGACTCTGGTTTACGTTCTGAAAATGGCATGTGGCTGCCTTGTCACTTTTAGTTTGACATAACGTTTACTTGCTTTGCTCCAAAACTTCCAAAGTTTTGGAGTTCAAACCGAAGTCCAAAATTTTCTTTCCAATCCATCTTAAAATAGAGAGTTCTTCAGCAGTGAAAGCACTTACCATTTTGAAGGCATCTGTAGACGTCATCTGAAAAGATGACTGTCAGAAACACTGGGCACAGGAAGGGCTTGAGGAGGGATGGCATATTCCTGTGTTGTAGTTGTGTTAGAAAATACAGGAGTAAAACTGTTTGCAGTACATTTTATCTCACAGACCGCATCTCTGGTTTGTTTGATAATCCAGATAAAGAGCGATATAAAAAGTAGTCAAGAGAAATGATGATGCAGAGGGAAGGAAGGTGAAGGGAACTGACGTAGCTGAAGCTTGGGTGGAGACCAGGTGATGGTGTGGATGATGATGCCTGGGTTCACCCCTCTTTGTAGCAGGGTGCTTTGCAATCTCTGTGCAGTGAAAGGAAGCTGGAGATGGGGTGATTGCAGACCAATGCATCACCATAGCCTAGAGCAGCCCCTCGGGTCCCTGTGGGTCTGCTGCAGGTGATGAATGCATAGGAGGGCAGAGTTGTGTGTAACGTGGAATGGTTAATTCTGGCACTTTCAACTCCTATCCCAGTTCGATCCTGACAACACTGGCTACATCAGCACCGAGAAGTTTCGCTCCCTTCTCCAGAGACACGGCTCGGAGCTGGACCCCCACAAGCTGGAGGTCCTGCTGGCCCTGGCAGACAGCAACTCCGAGGGGAGGATCTGCTACCAAGACTTCGTCAACCTGGTGAGTGCTCTGGCTGGCAGGGCCTGTCAGTCCTTGTCTCTGCTTAAAGGGAGGGACTGCTTAAAGGCTGTTGAGGGACAGTGTGTCTCTCTCCCTCCCTCTATCAACACCAGCGTTTGCTGTGTCCCTGCATCATGCTCTGCATGGGCTTGCTGAAGCATTCAGTGGTGATTGATCTCTGAAGCCAAAACGCAAGTTGCTGCTTGCTTTTTTTTTTTTTTCCCCAGGGAAACAAGTTTGCATGGGAAGAAACTGTGGGAGCTGTTGTAAGAGGAGTATGAAGCAGTGGCTGCTATTAGTTTAGAGGCTTTTGCTCTCAATATCAGTTGGTAGCTGTCATAAAGAGCCATTTGTTTGCAAGCAGAAGTCTGTCAGTCTGGATGTCTCCTATTTTATCTAGAGATTTCACCACTTTCAGACAAAATGTATAGATAACATTGTGCTGACTTGCCAGGTGGAGTCGTATTGCACTGCTGTAGACATCAACAGCGACAGGGATACAGTGTTTCTAGGTCATGTTCATTTTATCCTAGGTGAGATGTCTCAGACTGCATGAGTCATGATCTGGATGCCTCTCTCTCTCTACTAATGAGTCAATTAGTGAAGGGATCTTTCTGTTTCTTGTCAAGGCAGTTTGGGGAGCCAACATATATGTAGACATGTGTAGTTAGATGCCCAGGATGGCCTAGAAACGTTGCTTGCAAAATGGGTATCTTGAACAGTGGCCATTCCAGGGGCTTTGCCCTGGTCTTGCTCTGTCATTCCCCACCTAAGTCCCAGCAGATTTAGTGCATCAGTAAGAGAAACCTGGGTGACAAAGTCAATGAGCAATGAAAGTCAGTGACATCTCTAGGGTTTTGCTGGAAAGCTGGATGTGTTTTTGATGCAGAGTATAATAATTTGCATCTCTCTGTGTTCCTGCAGTCAACATGGGGATTTGATCCCTCCATTTGTCATGGCCACTCATACCATGTGTTATTGGTTTAGAAAGAAAGTGTCTTCCATATGTCCTGTCTTCATATTAATCAGAAAAGTGTGATAACAAATCACAGCTGTCAAGGATCCAGGTCACAACCTCAGGCCATGGCAGTGTGAAGGTGAAATTACTGTGATGCAATGACGTAGATCTGCTGTATCTAATCAAGCTGTCTTGTTAGCCCCTTGCATGTGTTTAGGTACACAGTAAAACAAATGTAGCAACTATTAAATAGCTCACAGTGAGCGTGAGGTTTTCCTCAGCTCCAGCTTAATAAACACTGTGGTCAATGGTACTCTGTGATCAGTGTATTTATAGTAACAGCTGCTTGTTCTACACTTTGGTATATTCAAAGTACCATGCAAGCACTCACTCACTGAGCTGCACAACACTTACTCTGGTAGCAGGACGAGGTATCATCTAGGTTCTTTTACAGGTACGATGGCCTAGGGCCAACCAACATGTTGGCAACAGGCTCAGGAATAGAACTGGGCTTTTTCCTCTCTCCTCGCTCCACTGAGCTCCGGAGCACCACAAGCTAATGAGAGGCAGGTGGGAAGTGAAAGGCTTGGACATCATCCTCCTTTGGGGAATGGGAGATCATGCCAGCTTACACCCACCTGATGTGATTTCACCAAAATGGTAAATTTCCTTCACTACTATTGAATGACTCCTGTAAAGAAGCCATTGATTTTTTTTTTTTGTCATCAGTCCCTTTATCCTATTTGCACTTTCTAATCAATAGGCAATGCAAATGCCAGAACATTAAACTACCTATAAATGGCATACCTCTTCTCACTTCTGTTCTAGTTGCTATTGATTGCCAGCATCTAAACTTTTTAGGGCTCCTTCTCTTTCCCCTAGCTTCCTGCTCCCAAACCTGCTTTGTGAACTTCCTGATGGAAATAAACAGCATGGCTGACACAGAACCACTGTGAAACTAGTGATTTCCTTCACTTTATAGCTGTCAATCCTGGAAACTATGACTGGTGGTGGTGAAGTACATGCTTGTATTTGGTGGTCGTCAACCATCTCTGCTTTTTGCTCAGGTTACTTTGTCTGTTTCAGTAGTTTAGCAAGAATTGATCTGCTCCCAAAAATGATGATGCATGTGTGGGGAAGGGAAAGGCTGACCTTTTACTAGATCCACAGAGGTTTTACAAGCACAGCTCTAAGCACCTGGTTTTCCTTTTCTCCATCAATATTCATGAACAAGTAGTCTGACAGTGATCAGAGAATCTCATGGCCTCCCAAATGCATCCAAAGTACTGAAACTTTAAGAAAGAGGTAAAATTGCATTAATAAAGCTCTGGCCACTGGAGAGGCCTTGAGGGGAGGAGTGGGGTTGGGCATCAGAAATGCATTACAGTGCAGTTGTCAAAACAGAGGTGTGGAAAGGAGGAGACTCCTCTGTGTGTGTGTCTCACAAGCAGCTCTTTTGCTTTCTTTCCAAGTACGGGGATGGAAGTAGCTGATGAGCTGCCTGCTCAAGCTACTATGAAAAAAATTAACTCAATCCCAGCCAAAACTAGTACAAATGTGTGCTGTCTCACAGAACCTAGCAGAACATAGGGTTTAACCACTGGGCATTCAAGAGAAATCTATCTTCAGTGATCAGTTCCTGGGACATCATATCCTTTCTGTTTTTTCTCTCAGCTTTGCTAAAGTTGATAAAAAATCAAGTAGGGAGGGTCTTCCTTTTTTTTTTTTTTTTTTCAGCCTTGTAGAACCCTTGATCTTTGCTGGGTTCCCAGGAAGTGTGACAGAATATGATGCTGCTTGTTCTACAGCGTGCTTGGCTACTTACTAGAAAGTCTGATGCTGAGATGCTATTAGTGACCACAGAAGCAGCTGTAACTTTATGAAATTGTTATTTCCAGAAGGCATTACAGTGATAAACCTCACAGAGCCATGATGTTAACACTTCGTTTCCTCCGGGGTACTGCATGTCCCAGAGAGGGCAGTAAAAAATGCTCGCACACATATGCTCCAACATAATCTCGAGCACCAAGAGCTCTGCCTACTCTCTCAGACACTGTGATCCCCAACTAAAGGACTGCTATTGAGCAAAGCTGTGTCATGCACTGATGTCCAAAGTGTGTTGTGAACTTCTAGATACATCAAAAATGTAATTTTAGGACTTCTCACCTTAGTAAGGAGACCCAGATATATGCACACAGAACACAGCCTGTTCTGAACTCAGCAAAGCAGCTTAAATTTCTGAAATAAAAAATTTTACAGGATGGGAATAGATCCTAGAAATCATTCAGTAAATAATTTGAGTAATGAATGAATTCAGGGAAGCTGAAGACTCTTGGTGTGATCTGCACACAGGAAGGGTTGAAACAAAATCAGGCAACTCGTTGGGAATTATTTCTCCTATGTATATAATAGATTCCTCTCATGTAGTTGTAAAACACAATGCTGCAATCATATCCATTTCTGTTTCTGCATTGGGACTTGCAAGAATGGCAGAAAGTTTTGGATAGGATTTCTTATCATGTGTCTGAGACAGTGCAGAATAACAAAAGTGTTTTCCTGTACAAGTGGAGACGTCTTGCGCATTTCTGTTGTCTGGTTGCTCTTCTGCATTGTGAAGAGAGACGACAAAAATGCACAGTGAAAATTCTGGCTATGAACAGCATAGACCACAGGAGGAGATGCTGAAGAAAGCTCTTTAACTAACTTTGCTACTTTTAGAGAGGGGACAAGCCAAGGGGTAATTGCAGTTGAGACGTTATTTGCTGGGATCCTTGCTGAACAGCAAGCTGCTGCTGGCAGTCCTGGGCTACTTCACATAATATCCTGTGAACTGTTACAGAGCTAAAGAGCAGAGCAGTGAGGCCCTGAAGAGACTCAGTCTCTGAGACTCTGGCAAAACCTTACTCGTCTTCTCTGCCTGGGAATGTGGATTGTTGCTTTGGATGGGCTGGATCGTGGCTTTACCACCTCCTCACCCTCTTGATGTGTTCCTCTTCAGACATGTGAGCAGAGGCAAGGAGGTGCAAACAGAGCTTCTGAGACCTTACTTTGCTTGACAGAAGGGCAATATAGAGCCAGTTCAGGCTGTGGTGGTAGCTTATATTCTCTTGTGAAAATCAGGTAGGTAACTTGCTCTGTACAAGCAAAAGTTTTACAGACCCTTATATTTAATAAAGCAGCTTTTGCTAGAAAAGTAAATCACAGCTTATACTGAGACTAGAGCAAAATCCGTTCCGCAGGCCAAGAGATTTCTCTGACAGTGCAACTCTACAGATCACTGCTGAAACAGATGTGCTGTAAAAGCTGACCTCAGTGCATCCAGATTGGACCTGCCAGTATGGGAGGACTTGAGAAGAAGGCAATGTGGCTGTCCCCTGTTCCAACACTGACACTAGCTTGGGAGGTGCCTCTAGTGCACACTGAAGGTCTCTGTCCCTGCTACAGATTTAATGTTCAAAGGGCAGAACTGGAAGTCAGATGGACCGATATTTTTTTCCTGGCTCTGCAACAGACTTGCTGTGAAACTTGTGGAATCCTGTCTGTGCCTCATGGGTCTGTTTCTGCAGCAGAGCAGAAGGAGTTAACAGTTGCATCTCTTAGGCTTCACAATTTTGGCAAAGTCAAGAATTAAAGATGACTAAACTTAAGCATGTGCTTAGAACAAGTTAATACCTTTGCATAGCCATGAGTCGAAGCCCTGTGGGTGTGGAATTAGTGTGCTGTAATTTAATGAAGTTGTGTTGGGAACTTTCCCTTCTACATGACTTACTTGAAGCTTGCTAAGGATAAAACCTCTAAAATGTCATTGGTGGTGTCATTAAATGGGGTTTTCTTGAGGCTGTTTCAACCTTCTTGACCGCAATAGGAAGTGAGGAGTGAGATTTTTTTTTTGCTCATTTTCTTTAAAGAGCCAGTGGAGTTTAATGAGATTTTAAACTGACCTGTGAAACTAGGAATTAGCAGTCTTGTTCCACAGTTTTTTGTCTCTGGGCACCACAGAACTTTTCCCTTTGCTTTGTGAAAGGCACAGCATGTAGGCTGG